TATAGGGCCAGTGGCTCAGCCTCCCCAGTCACCGCCAGGTGAGCACTCTTGGTGCACCCTTTTGTGGGCTGTGTGCATAGTCTTGTTGTAGTTTAGCGTTGATTGCTATTGGTATCATTGGGAGGAATTGACCTCCAGACCAATTGGCTATGAGGACCAGTTTTGTCTACAATGGGAGAACTGTTGTGCTGGAAACACCTTTTTGAGGCAGGACTTGTTTCAGTGGGGCTCTGGTGCTCACTGAGTCTGCCCCCTGAGTGTATCTCTTATGGATCTGAAGAGTTATAATCTGGTGTGGTCTCACTCTGACCACTGGGCACACTGGCTCTTGGATCTCCAAGGAGGTGCAAAGTCAACCACTGCCTGAGGCCACCCAACAGGAGCTACAGAGAGATCTGCAGATTCCTCCTCTTTGTTTGGGGTTTGGAGGTGCACAGATGAGGTGCAGCTGTGAAACAATGCAGGCTGCTGATGAGACTTAGGCCTTCTTTTGGAAGCTCTGGGGTTCTTTGACCCAGCTGCAGTTTGTTAGGTTTTAGATTGCAAAAGGCCAGGCCATTCATATGCAAAAGCCTCTGTGTACAGCTTGGGTGGGGTTGTAAATTGGGTGGGGTGGGGTCTCAGGGAATTATGGGTGGTGAAAACAGCAATGGTTGCTCGTTGGTCCTGCCCTGGTAGGTTCCGGGTCTCTGTGTCCCGCAGCCCTGTGCAGGAACAATGATCGCTGTAAGCACCTCTGTGAGGAAGCTGCCCTAGCGTTCCGGCCCGATGCCAGACAGTCCAGTTTCTCCCTGTATGAGTCTGGGTCTCCAGAGTCTCGCCCGGAACTGGAGTTCAGAGCAGTTGGGAGTTTGTATTTCCCTCCCAATTGAAAAAGACAACAGCGTAGCCAGTTGCCAGCCCATTTTGCGTGCCTCCATACCTCCACTCTTCTGCACCTCTGCACCTCCTACCAGTCTAGATGCGCTTTTCTCTTCCCTCTAGTTGTCAGACTTCCACTCAGCCAGCTTTCCCATGGTTCTGGATGATATCCGTTTTGTCTTTTAGTTGTAGTTTTGATGTGTTGTGTGAGGCAGCAAGTTCAGGTGTTTACCTATGCCGCCATCTTGGTTCCTCCTCCTTTCAGTGCTTTAAATATACCATCCCACTGCCTTCTGGCCTCCATTTTTTTTCTGATAAAGAGCGAGCTGTAGTTTTCCTGTACTTGATTAGTCTCTTTTGATTGTGATGAGTCATTTTTCTATATTTTTGTGTCTTTATTTTATCTTGTTTATTTTAATTTTTTTCCATCACCACATTTTTTCCCCTTTTATCTATTTACTGGAGGCCTAGTGCATGAAATTTGTGCGTAGGTGTGGGGGGCTCCCACAGCCCAGCCTGCACCCTCTCACAATCCGGGACTGCTGGCTCCTAACTGTTCACCTGCCTATCTGCCTGATTGCCCCTAACCACTCACCTGCCTGCCTGATTGCTCCTAACTGCCTCTGCCTGTCTGATTGCCCCTAACCACTTGCCTGCCTGCCTGATTGCCCCTAACTGCTTGTCTGCCTGCCTAATTGCCCCTGACCACCTCTGCCTTGGCCCCTGCACCCAGAACCTGGCTTCCCTCCCTCTGGCTGGCCACAGGCACCCGGGACCCGGGCTTCCTTCCCTCTGGCCTGGCAACAGGCACCAGGGACTCTGGGTGGCTTCACCTGGGCCCCGGCTTTTCCAGGAAGGATGTCCGGAATGACGTCTGGCAGATGTCCAGTCTATCCGGTCTTATTAGCATATTACCCTTTTATTAGTATAGATTTTTTTTTTACCACCTCTTTTTTCTTTAAAGAGTCTCTCTTCGTATGGCTTTCAATGGTTTGACTATGATGTGTCTAGGTATGGATTATTTTGTTGTCTATTTAAAATTTGCTGAGTTTTTTGAATGTGTAAATTAATGTTTTTCATAAAATTTTGGATAATTTGCCCAGCTGGTATGGCTCAGTGGTTGAGTGTCAATCCATGAATCAAGAGGTCACAGTTCAATGACCAGTCAGGGCACATGCACAAGTTGTGGTTTCGATCCCCAGTGAGGGGTGGGCAAGAGGCAGCCAAACAATGATTTTCTGTCATCATTGATGTTCCCATACCTCTCTCCCTCTCTCTTACTCTCGCTGAAATCAATAGAAACATTAAAAAGAGAAACTTTCCCTCTGAAACTAGATCTCTTAATATCTCTAGATATGTATTTGATATATATATATATATATATAGGGATGATTTGGCCATTACTTCTTCAAATACCTTTTTAAAATTTATTTTTCTTTATTTATTAAGGTATTACATATGTGTCCTTATCCTCCCCACTCATGCCCTCACACCCCTGGTGTCTGTGTCCATTGGTTATGCTTATACAAATACTTTTCTAAAAATATGTTTTTATTGAGAAAGAGGAAGGGAGAGGGCTAGAGAAAAACATTGATGAGAGAGAAACATATCAGCTGCCTCCTGAATATCCCCTACTCAGTATTGAGCCCAAAACCTGGGCATGTGCCCTGACCAGGAATCCAACCGGTAACCTCTCAGTGCATGGGACAATGCTCAATGATCAATCAACTGAGCCACACTGGCCAGGGCACTTCTTCACATACTTTCAATGTACCTCCCCGCTCTTGTTCTGGGCCTTCTATTATTTGTACATCAGTATGCTTAATGGTGTGCCACAAGTCTCTGAGGCTTTGTTCATTTTTCTTTCTTCTTTCTTCTCCCTGTTCTCAGATGAGACAACTTTTACTAATCTAGCATCAAGCTTTCTGGTTTTACTTCTGTTAGTTCGAATCTACTTTGAGCCCTCTTGGCTAACTTTTCATTTTAGTTTTTATACTATTCAGCTCTATTTTTTCCACTTGGTTGTTCTAATTTCCATATCTTTATTGATATGCTGTATTTGATGAGCAATTATCATCATAGTTGTCTTCTTCAGCTATCTGTTAATTTATTCTAACTTCCTTGGGCTTAACAATAGATAGGACACAACACAAAAGAAGAAATACAATCTCATCATTTGTGTTTTATGGTTTTTCTTCTTCTAGTGTCTAGAAAAGCTCTATGGAAATCTTGGAAAGAAAGAGTTATAAAGCGACCTGCAACAGTCCATGCTTTAACACCAAATCAGATGATTGGTGATGAATTTGCAACAAATACAAAGGTTTCAGAAATTCAAGCCATGCTACAGGAACTCATAGATACTACAATGTTCAATAAATTGGAAAATAATGCTATTAACTATATAGCATCAACAATAGAAAACCTTTCTAAAGCGTTGAGTTCACTAAATAATGAAGCAAAAGTTATTAACCTCCATCCTGAGATATGTATAAGTGAGGAAAGTGAAAAAGAACTCTCACTGCAGATAATACAAGAGCTCAGTGAAGAAAACGAAAGGCTTCAGCGGAAACTTCAAGAAGCAGAAGAAAAATGTGAGCAGTTTATTAAATTCAAAACATTGCCCACATCAACCTTGAAGGTGTTATATGAGTTTTCTCCAAAATCATCCATGGGCTTTAGCATGACTGATGAAGCAGCGAGTATGGACAATACTTGGATGAAAGAATTTGAAAATAGAATGGATGGGGCCCAAAGAAAGGAGACCCAAGGCTCAGTGTTAAAGTGGGACTCAGCAAGTTCACATACAGCCCAAGTTGAAATGACTCCAGATTTAATTGAACAGCAATTCCTTTTACTTGAAAAACCACCAAAAATACCTTCCAAAGATACCACTGAAGATAAGATATCACTGAAGAAAGGTGACATCTATCAGAAAGGTTGGACTGATGAGTATCAATCACAGAAAAGGAAGATCACAAAAGCCCCATATGAGTTTGAGACCTCTAGATCAAATCTGAGTAAGCAGACAAGTAAACAAATAATCTCGAAGACCAAAGTGGATTATGACTTCGATCTACAATCACAGCAAAAGACGAGTCAAGAAATACAACCCCTTTCTATAGCACGGCGAAAGACAAGTCAAGAAATACAGCCCCTTTCTATAGCACAGCAAAAGACAAGTCAAGAAATACAGCCCCTTTCTATAGCACAGCAAAAGACAAGTCAAGAAATACAACCCCTTTCTATAGCACAGCAAAAGACGAGTCAAGAAATACAGCCCCTTTCTATAGCCAAATCAAAGTCATTCATTGAATCAAAAAGTCAACACATTCTTTCTAATTTCCCTTCTACTGACACAAAGAGCCAAGGTGGCAAAAGTGGAACAAGTAGTAAGTGGGAACGACTCAGGAAGTACAAAATTGCATATATACTTGAGAAATGCCAAGTTATTTCAGACCACAAGAAGAAATCCACCACCGAGTTAATGGCCAAAGAGAGTAAAAGTGTTATGAGTTTCCAAGCAGTGCCATCTGGGTCAATCCAACCTGATGAATCCTCTGAGAAAGTAAAAATAGAAGGAAAGGAACATCAAATCTCTTCAGAAATTACCACAAGCAAAGAAGGAAAAACTGAAGAGGAGGACACGTCAGTCTTTACCAAGAAGGGCAAGTCTCAAGAACTTGTTGAATCACAATCTAAGACTTCAGAATCTACTACAGTTCTAGGAAGTCCAGAGGGCAAAAGTGAACAGGCTAATCTAGATGAATTTCACAACGCCATAATGTCTTTCTTAAAAGAGAAAATTGATAACACAGAAAATCCTTTGGATAAAAAGACTGTGCCAGAAGAAGAGTTATTATTAAGAAAAGCAGAAGTTGAAAAATTAGGAATCATAAAGGCAAAAATGGAAGAATATTTCCAAAATGTGGCTAGAGCTGTGGCAAAAATCTTGAGAAAATACAAAGACATTAAAATAGCAGGACAAATTAGAGAGAAACAAATGGAACAAACAACAGTCTCATTTATGCCAGGACTACATTTACAGGAGCCAATTAGTCCAAAGTCTGAAATTAGCTCCTTACTCTCATCTGAGAGCATGGACCCAGTAATACAAAATTTAACACAAGAGATCTTGACTGAAATAGATGCTCCAGTCGTCTCAATAGCAGGGAAAGACCATATGGAGAAGGAAAAACAGAGGCAGGAGGAATATTTGCCAGAGGTTCAAGGAGAAAGTTTGAATATGAATCTTAAACACCAGTTGCAAGAAAGGAATCTCTGGAAGATGGGCTATAAGAGGATAAAAAAGGATTTGCAACAGCTCCAGCCGAAGGAGGGAAAGCAAGAGCAACAGAAGCAGGATCAGTGGCAGGAAGAAGTGTGGGAGCAACATCAAAAACAGAGGATGCAAAAGCAGACCGAGCAAGATGAGAAGCAAAAGGGAATGGAAGAGGAAGAACAGCAGAAGCAAAAGCAGCAGTGGCTGGAAGCACGGAGGCAAAAAATGAAAGAGCAAGGAGTGTCCTTGGAGAAGGAGGAGGGACAGCAGATGGAGCAGCTTCAGAAGGAACTGGAAAGTAGCTGGAAGGAAGAGGAAGAGAAGCAGAAGCCAAAGAGAAAGGGAAGGGATGATGAAAGTCAGTGGCATAAAAAAGCAAAGGAGCAGTTGAAGATTAAGGAGGAAAGACCTGAAGAACTAGAAAATGTGTTAAGTAGCGCTTCAATAAGATTGACTCCCAGGTGGAAGAACACATGGAAACGTGCATTACGTTCACGCACAAAAAAAGAGTTCCATGTGAATCTTGCTGATGAAAAGCACTCCGAACCAGTCATTCCTCCCTCCTCGACACAGTTTTCCTCACCTGGGCCCTTTTTTATTCCTGGACAGTTTCCTACAAAGTCCATTGCTGTCATTCATGAGGAGGCCGAGTCCCAGGGCATCACTCTCTCTCCTGAGCAGGCGCAGGCACAGGGCATCACTCTCACCCCTAGTCAAGCCCTGGCACAGGGAATCACTCTCACCCCTAGTCAAGCCCTGGCACAGGGAATCACTCTCACCCCTCAGCAGGCCCTGGCACAGGGAATCACTCTCACCCCTAGTCAAGCCCTGGCACAGGGCATCACTCTCACCCCTAGTCAAGCCCTGGCACAGGGCATCACTCTCACCCCTAGTCAAGCCCTGGCACAGGGCATCACTCTCACCCCTAGTCAAGCCCTGGCACAGGGAATCACTCTCACCCCTCAGCAGGCCCTGGCACAGGGAATCACTCTCACCCCTAGTCAAGCCTTGGCACAGGGAATCACTCTCACCCCTAGTCAAGCCCTGGCACAGGGAATCACTCTCACCCCTAGTCAAGCCCTGGCACAGGGAATCACTCTCACCCCTAGTCAAGCCTTGGCACAGGGCATCACTCTCACCCCTAGTCAAGCCCTGGCACAGGGAATCACTCTCACCCCTAGTCAAGCCCTGGCACAGGGAATCACTCTCACCCCTAGTCAAGCCCTGGCACAGGGCATCACTCTCACCCCTAGTCAAGCCCTGGCACAGGGCATCACTCTCACCCCTAGTCAAGCCCTGGCACAGGGAATCACTCTCACCCCTCAGCAGGCCCTGGCACAGGGAATCACTCTCACCCCTAGTCAAGCCTTGGCACAGGGAATCACTCTCACCCCTAGTCAAGCCCTGGCACAGGGAATCACTCTCACCCCTCAGCAGGCCCTGGCACAGGGAATCACTCTCACCCCTAGTCAAGCCTTGGCACAGGGAATCACTCTCACCCCTCAACAAGCCCTGGCACAAGGCATCACTCTCACCCCTAGTCAAGCCCTGGCACAGGGCATCACTCTCACCCCTAGTCAAGCCCTGGCACAGGGCATCACTCTCACCCCTCAGCAGGCCCAGGCATTGGACATCACACTCACCCCTCAGCAGGCCCAGGAGCAGGGAATCACACTCACCCCTCAGCAGGCCCAGGCACTGGACATCACTCTCACCCCTCAGCAGGCCCAGGCATTGGACATAACTCTCTCCCCTCAGCAGGCCCAGGCATTGGACATCACTCTCACCCCTCAGCAGGCCCAGGCATTGGACATCACACTCACCCCTCAGCAGGCCCAGGCATTGGACATCACACTCACCCCTCAGCAGGCCCAGGAGCAGGGAATCACACTCACCCCTCAGCAGGCCCAGGAGCAGGGAATCACACTCACCCCTCAGCAGGCCCAGGCATTGGACATCACTCTCACCCCTCAGCAGGCCCAGGCACTGGACATCACTCTCACCCCTCAGCAGGCCCAGGCACTGGACATCACTCTCACCCCTCAGCAGGTCCAGGCACTGGACATCACTCTCACCCCTCAGCAGGCCCAGGCGTTGGACATCACACTCACCCCTCAGCAGGCCCAGGAGCAGGGAATCACACTCACCCCTCAGCAGGCCCAGGCATTGGACATCACACTCACCCCTCAGCAGGCCCAGGCACAGGGAATCACACTCACCCCTCAGCAGGCCCAGGCATTGGACATCACTCTCTCCCCTCAGCAGACCCAGGCACTGGGTATCACTCTTACCCATGAGCAGTAACAAGGCACTGATGGTTACCCTCACTCCTGAAAAA